GTGATAGCTGTGAATAGACAAGTATGTGTGAAATGTCTCATTGTGATAGCTGTGAATAGACAAGTATGTGTGAAATGTCTCATTGTGATAGCTGTGAATAGACAAGTATGTGTGAAATGTCTCATTGTGATTGCTGTCAAATGAAAAAAAAAATGTACTGTGAAACACGGAAAGCCACCAGTGAATGGGTACTGTAGAAGTGATGTTTATTCTTACCCAAGTGGCGTTTGGTGGTGTTCAATTCTTTCTTGTCAAGGTTTGGCTTTTTCCTATTAACTGAATTGTATACAGTGCTTCAGAAGTATGAGTCTTCTTTATAACTGAACAACGGAATTTTGCAGTTGAAAGATACATTTTGACACTGCTTTTGTTACAAAAAGTGAGTTGTACATTTGCTAGTGGTCGGTCTCACCTTTACTTATGTTCAGAAGCCTTTAAGTTTATTCGAGCAGGTGGTTGGCGGGTGCTCTGGTGTGATTTGCTCCTTCTTTCCTATCAAACATCTAGCGTCCTTATCTCTCCTCCTTTTTTGTGTTTGTTACTCTCTTGTAACACTTCTAATCTTCAGCACGTATATGACCGTATAGTATTGCAAGTGTCATAAAACTCTTACGAAGACTAAAAACTAACGTTTATTCATTCTAGTCTATTTCTTTTGAATTTATCTTTTTCTGTGTTTGTTTTTTTTCAACCCGTAATATTTTCACCCTTTTATCTAGACCCGAGGATGTGTTTGGGTTTTTCTTTAAAAAAAATTTTTTTACATATAACATCTTCACCCTTTTATCTGAACGTAAAGATGTGTTTGTATTTTTTTTGTTTGGCTATTGTTTAAACCTGCAACGTTTTCACCCCTTATATGAAGACCCAAAGATGTGTTTGTTTGTTTATTTGTTTGTTTGTTTTTTACCTGCAACGTTTTCACCCCTTATATGAAGACCCAAAGATGTGTTTGTTTGGTTATTTGTTTGTTTGTTTTTTACCTGTAATGTTTTCACCCCTTGTATCAAGACCTGAGGATGTGTTTGTTTGTTTGTTTATTTGTTTTGTTTGTTTTTGCTCCCCAGAACGGCGGAGCACCACGCCATTATGAGGAAAACGTTTATCTTCCTGCTCATGATGGTCCTCATCCTGCCCTCCCTGGGACTCACCAGGTGAGACACTTCGGGGAACTGGGTGTTTCTGTCTGTCTATCTGTCTTACTTTTCCCAGCACTAAATAACCACTATGGTGTCGATGTGCTTCTCTTTACTCAAACAAACAAACAAAACACTTCTGATACCCAGAGTGGTTGGGGG